CGGACCAATTACGTAGCAGCCGTCGCGCCCCGGCGGCCAATCAACATTTGGCGTCAGAGTTAACGTCCCCGCTCATGTGACACCGCTGCCCAATAGAAATCGAGCTCGTGCTCGGAGGGGAGAATCCGAGCCCCGCCCATCTCCGGCACGTGACACCCAGCAGCTAATGAGAATTCAGTCTCCGAGTGTTTCTCATCGCAATGAACCGGATTTCCGGGACTAGGGCGTGTGTCTGTCATGTGACACAGGCTGTCCATCTAGGGGTTATAGTGGACCACAAGTTGAATATGAGTCAGCAGTGTGATGCCGTTGCAAAGAAAGCAAACATGATTCTGGGATGCATTAACAGGTGTGTTGTGAGCAAGACACAAGTAGTCATTCTTCCACTCTACTCTGCGCTGGTTAGGCCTCAATTGGAGTATTGTATTCAGTTCTGGGCACTGCGTTTCAAGAAAGATGTGGAGAAATTGGAGAGGGTCCAGAAAAGAGCAACGAGAATGATTAAAGGTCTAGAGAACATGACCCATGAGGGAAGGCTGAAGGAATTAGGTTTGTTTAGTTTAGAAAAGAGAAGATTGAGGGGGGACATGACAGCAGTTTTCAGATATCTAAAAAGGTGTCATAAGGAGGAGGGCTATACCTTCTTTACTCTGCCAAGCCCTTCGATACAACCGCATCTGCTCTAATCCCATTGACAGAGACCAGAAACTTCAGGATCTCTACCAAGCATTTATAAACCTCAATTACCCACCCAGAGAAATAAAAAAACAAATTGAAAGAACCAGACAAATACCCAGAAACCATCTATTTCAAGACAGACCCAAGAAAACCAACAATAGAACACCACTTGTCATCACCTACAGCCCCCAACTTAAACCCGTCCAACACATTATCAATAAACTACTACCTATACTGGAACAGGATACTAAACTCCGAGAGGCTCTGGGAAACAGACCCCATAGTCTCCTATAGACAACCACCTAACCTCAACATGATTCTTACCAACAATCACGGGACATACCACACTAATACCAACCCTAGAACTTTCCCTTGCAACAAACCCCATTGCCATTTTTGTCCACATATTTACTCTGCTGACACCATTATTGGACCTAACTAATTGAGTTATAAGATCAAGAACACATATTCCTGCTCATCCAGAATAACACAGTTTGTCATCGTGTGCTGACAGTTTCCGTCTGCTATGTACATTGGACAAATGTCTCAGATGCTTTGCCAAAGAATCAATGCACACAAAACGGTTATCAGACAGTATCATAAAGAAAAAACAGTTTCTTGCCATTTCAACCAGAAAGGGCATTGTCTCAACGACTTAATTACCTGCATCCTGCTTCAAAGACATTTTAACACCAGACTTGAAAGAGAAACCTCTGAACTGTCATTCATGCTTAAATTTGACACTTTACACCAGGGTCTTAACAAAGATGCTAATTACCTTACCCATTACAAAGATAGCTTCCCCAATTATCACCTCTAATATCATTAGCTCACAGACATTTACCTCATCCCACCTCTGTTCTGAAATTTGATTTGTCCTTTTTATGTGTTCACTTTTTTTTTTATTGTATCCCTTTGGTACATATGGTCATGCCTATTTTCTTCCACAATTTGATCTGAGGAAGTGGGTCTGGCCCACAAAAGCTCATCATCTAACAAACCATCTTGTTAGTCTTTAAAGTGCTACATAGTCCTGATCTTTAATCAAGTGCCAGTTTGTCCGTTTGCCCAGCACCCCACCCCCTGTGATCAGCGGTGCATCCCATGCCCATGCAGTGCTGCGAGCGGCGCGAAGGCTGATGTGGCAGTGCAGTATTCTATCAAAGATTAAGACAAATTGCCAAGAACTCTGAATACGTTACGTCTGATCAACAGTTCTTAATGCTTTAGTCCCTAAGGCATTTATCGCACTCCTGCTTGTCCTTAGGGCGCTTTGAAGTCTTGATTACTACTTTGCCTGGATTTGGTCCAAGGGATAAGTGTAAAATGTTAAAAGTGGTGAGGGGTTTCACTGCACCCCACCCTCTGGTGTTCACCGAAGCTGTGTCCTTGAGGGATAGGGTACCCTGAGGGGGAGAGGATGGGGCAATGGTGGGAAGGGGTGAGGTTTGGGGGTCAGTAACAGACTGGCCACCCTGCTGGGAGTTGTGGATCAGATTGTGCCATCGCTTGGGCCAGGGATGGCACGTGGGCCTGGAGTTTGAGACCTCTGATCTCACATGGTCACTCGAGTCTCTAGAGAGAATGCAGACTGAGCAAGATCTCCAGTTATTTATACTGAGGAGCAGAAGGGGAACTATAGCCTTTGACATGAAAGCCGGGGGCAGAGTCCTGTCCAAAAGGTTGGGCTGGGTTTCAGTCGCTCTTAAGATTCCACAGCTTTCTGTGTTGAATTCAGCCTCTTCGCCCGCGCACACATCCCTCAGTTTTATATACCCTCATTTCAGGGCTCACAGGAGGGGGCTACCCTCTTATTCCTAGTGAACCAGGGCCAAGCAGGTCCTCTTAGCATCTCTGCTGCTTCCATTGGTGCCCAGTAGATGGTGATGGTGTATAACAAACGGCTTTAATCCTGTTCTGTAGTGGAAGGCATTTAGCAAGCAGCAGGGCATGTGCTACATGGCCTGCTGTGGAGATGGGCAATGGCCATCCCTCGAGGCTAGTGAGTGGGCTGCCCGAGCGGCCCTCCTTTCTTCTCAGTGGGCCACAAGATTGCCGCAGCCAATGCCATCTGCCAGGACAGGGCAGTTTTGCTCACTTACATATCTAGGATTTGCAGGGGCGCTGACTGAACCGTGTAACAAATGGCCGTGGTCGGATGCAGAGGGCGCGCACCGCTCTCACCGTCGGTGTTGGGTGCAATCAGCGCCTCATGTCACAGGCCCTGGCTTTACGTGCGTGTCACCTTGCACCAGTTGGAAAAACATGGCACGGACGGAACCCAGCAGAATCCGGCAACCCTGCACATGGGCCACGGTAAACACAATGTCTCATGGGCCAGGCAGAACCCTCATGGGCTGCACGAGGCCCACCACTGCAGGATGTTGTGTACAAAGCGGAGAGCAGAGCGCCTGGCAGAGGACCTGTCTGGAATCCAAGTGCTCAGGCCTTTGCTGCTAATGCTCAACTGCAATCTAACTTCTCTCCGCTGCTTCATCTTTCAGCAGGGGAAGATCACCTCTTGTAATTGGCTCCAGCTTAGGGAGTTGGTAAGGAAATCAAAGGGCCAGATGCTGCCCCATGCTTGACAGGGCAGCAGGGCCATCACACACAGTAATGCAGAGTTTGGCCAGATGCTGTGATAGCATAAAAAGCAATGCCAGAGAGACAGGCTGCGCGGCCCAGGGGGGTAGATAACAGTGAGACTTTCCCCACCTGACACTGATACTCCTGTGAATTGCTAACACAGAGGCTGCATGAGATAGCGATTGTCTATCCTCTCCCATAGGTTTGGGTTGTACTGAAGGAAAGGATTGCAGTATAGAGAGAGGACAATAGAAAGAGCTTTGGTGGCTTGGGGCCCTTTAAGCTGCTAATTGAAAGTTAACTGTGCAGGCCAATGTGAGAAGCAAGAATCGCAGAGGAGGGAAAGGAAGGCAGGCAAAAGCCACCCAACAGCCACAGAGCTTGACATGCGGACCTCCTGGGGCTCAGGAATGGCAGGGAAGAGCCCAGAGAAAAGCATATTCCGCTTCTGCATGGCACCAGCACCACCAAGGTCAGTAGGCTTTCCAGAGGAGGAAGGGCAAAGAGTAGAGTCTAGGGAAGTCATGTCCCAGTTTCCAGAAGATTTAAACACAACTGCCAACATTGCTGCTTTTTAATTTAAAACCCTTTCATTCCTAATTGTATGTTGTTCTGGTATTCAAGGTTGTGGTCTGTCCTATGGATTTTCCAGGGTAAAGCTATTAATTAAAGGTTAGCTAATTTCCCCCCTGAAGGACATGCATGGATACAGCCCTCTGATCAAGAATGGGCATCAAGCAATATGCTCTTCTAAAACAAAAATATTTATTTAGGAGTGAAGTTGCAGTAAAAGAGGAGAGATGGGGTAAAATACAATCAAATAACAAACATTGCCATTATAGTTTAAAAGAAAGTGACATGTAGCAATATAACTAACAAGCATATAGCATAATATCTGTTACATCTACCAGTATAGCAATTAAACCTGTAACAATTAACATTCAATATTAAATACTTAAAACATACCCATTAAAACATCTAATAAGAGCTGATTAGGCAATCATTAGATGGGTAGGGGAATATTTTACTTGGACCGCAAGCTGTGACGTAGTGGGGGTACTTGCTGGGCTGTGGTGACCCCTGCTGTCTGGAGCAAGACCCAGCAGGGAAAACCTCACTATGCAAAGGTAGTGCCAAACTTGTTGAACCAGTGGCCAGACACCCCCCATGGAGAGGAACAAAGGAAGGTGGAATGCTGCCCTGACTGGGGGGCAGGGCTGGAAGGGAATTTAGTTAGTTCTGTCTGAGAGCATGGAGGAGACAGCCTAGGGAAAGGGGCTGGAGTTTAGGGGCCCAGTCTCCCCCATCTCAAGGGGGCCTGAGGCATCCTAGCCCAGCTCTGTGACCAGATTCCATCTGTGCTGTGCTGTATCCTGGAGAGGCAGTAAACTTCGTCTATTCCACCGGCTGGTGCAGTCTGTTTGTGCCATTTCGGGGTGCAGGAGACGGGGGACCCCCAACGCGCCGTCATACAAGCATCCAGATTTATTTACAGGCAAAAACCTATATGCTCTAGGACAGTGGTCTCCAACCTTTTTACACCCAAGATCACTTTTTAAGTCTCAGAACAGGCGAAGATCTATCGCCATGCCCCTTCCTTGAAGCCCCGCCTACATTACATGAGGAAATCTAATGTAAATGCACTGTGCAGGTGCGCAGTTCAGGGAGGGCTCAAGAGCTACTCTTGGAGCCCCTGAGATCTACCGGTAGATCGCGATCTACTGGTTGGTGACCACAGCTCTAGGATGACACACGGAAGAAGATTTGGCATACAGTGACTCTCTAGCATCCTTCTGAAGCATCTCCAGAATGGTC